CTTAGTGGCGAGCACGGTCGGAGGAACATCGCGTGCGTTCATGCCCGTTACAGTCGCTGTTTGGTGCGCGCCACAGTTTTTTCATGCGAGGGCCGAAACTTTCATGCGCTTGGAGGAGTCCTGGAACAATTGTCGATGCTATGCGACGCGCGCGTGAGATCTCCATGCGAGTTTATCGAGCTTCCAGACAGAACGTGCCACGTTTGTCCCGAGGCCGTTTTTATTATCCGAGACTTTCTCGGAGCTGGAGCGCCATCCCTACGCTCGCCTTCCGGTGCCGCCAGCTGGAGAATTACTGGTTGTCGATCGCGATGTCGACCCCCGACGGGCTCCCGACGCTGCCGAAGGAGGCGAAGGTGGCCGACGCAGGCATGGCGGCCATGTTGCTGGCCATGTTGAATGAAACAGCTCATCGCCAATGTGAAGCAGCTCCGCAAATCAGGGGCCAACTCTACGATGCCTCTTGGATATCGAAAGCACGGCAGCGCAGGACGCGTAGAGCGCGGGCGCCGCGTGCGCGGCCGCGGTGAAGGACGATAGCAAAAACCACAGCCTTGGGCCGCCAGCTGTCACGGTGTTCCTCTACTTGGCGAAGACGGTGGTAGAGGTAGAGATCGGAGCCTTGAACCACAATTGGCTGCAGGACTTGGCGGGCCAGCTCAAAGACAAGGGGCCCGGGGGCATCGCGCAGATGTGTCGCGCGCGCCGCCTCGAGCGGTGCTTCGACGAGAAGCAGATCAAGCGCGCTGGCCATCCCGTTTCACGGCTTCCCGAAGCTGCTCCGCAGCGCGATGGGGTAAATGGGCGCCGCCGCCACGATCGGCCAAGCGCCCGCGGGGCACTCGGAAGAGGAGCAGGACGCGTACGTGGGCATCTTGTCTTGAGGCGGCCTGCCAGTGCGCCTTTAGCGAGTGCGAGGAGGCGGGGGCCCGTCGAGTCGTCTGAGGTCGTCGGGTCGGCGGGAGGAGGAGGACCTCCGAGTTAACTCGAGAAGTTCGGTTTCGGGCGGCCCCCTGACTAAGGTGGCGACCGCGGGAACCCCGCTCTTAGTCCTGTCGGGGGGCAGGCTTCTCGACCCTTTTTGGGAACGCGCTCTGTGGCGTGGCAGCGAGGCGTTCTCGAGTCGAGATTCGTGTTTAGTCGGTTCTTTTCATCGGCAAGCGAATTCAAATACTGTGAAACAGCCCTCTATGCAGCTTCCCCGTTGAAAATATGATCGTATGTGTTTGCTGTACAGACAACAAAGGCTACTGGAGCAGGGGGGGCACTGGAAGTGCTCATCGTAGGGCATGCAAGCACACAGGTGAAAGTGCGAAGCCTTAGTGAGACCTGGAACATGGGTCGCTAGTGGTGCTCGTAGGTTGCCATAAAGAGGCCTGGCGCGACCACCTTGGGTGCCCAGGGGGATCGACCGAATGGATGCCGATGAGGAGGATGACGAACAGAAGGGGGAGGAGGGTAACCGTGGACGGGGATGGAAATCAATGAGAGGAAAGAGGAGGAAGTCTTAGAGCTTACCCGAAAGTCGAGAACCGACGGGCATGGCTTAGGAGGAAGAGGAGGAAGAAGAGGATGGGGGAGAACGGTCATATGCGGGATCCGTCCGGACAGAGAGAAAGAAAGAGAAAGAGAGAAAGAGAGAGAGAGAGAGAAGAGAGAGACAGACAAAGAGAGAGAGAGAGAGAGACACACACACACAACAAAAAAAACGAGAGACCCTCGCCATCATTCGATGGAGGGGACCGCGGGACCAACGCGTGTCCTCCCCCTCATCCTCTTCCGCCCAGCCTGGTCCAGTCCAGGCCTCGACCCCGGCTGACCCTGTTGCGCGAAGACGTGAACATTTTGCTGGCCGGGGCGCCGCGATGACCAGCAGGATCTTCTTGGATGGCGAGGGGTTTAACAGCACATGTTCACTCCTTCTCCTCCTCCTCCTCCTTCTCCTCCTCCTCCTCCTCCTCCTCCTCCTCCTCCTCTTGCTCCTCCTACTCCTCCTCCTCCTCTTTTCCTTTCCCGGCCCGCATCCGTAGTCCTCGGAGGCTTTCCCGGAGCCAGCCCAGATCTTCGCCCAAGACCGCCTTCCGCGTCCCCGCTGCCCCCCTGGTGCAGGGCCTCGGGAGCGGTGGGGGGGGCCGCTGCATTGGGTGGGTCGCCAGGTCCTCCCTGGGATCGAGGCTCCAGGACAGTTATTCAGGGCGCTTTGGACGACGCCTCCCTTTCCTCCTCCCGCTCCTATGAATGGCGCTTGTCGACGTTCGGCGGCGCATGGCGAGAGGAGGCCGAATCGCCCAGCACCCGTATTTCAAGGGCTGCGGCCTGTGCCGTCGTCGTCGTCGTCGCCGTCGTCGTCGTCGTCGGCGTCGTTGACGTCGTCGTCGTCGGTGTCGTCGTTATCGTCGTCGTCGGCGTCGTCATCGTCGTCGTCGTTGTCATCGTCGTCGTCGGCGTCGGAGTCGTCGTCGTCGTCGGTGTCGTCGTCGTCGTCCTCGTTGTCGGCGTCGTCGAAGTCGTTGGAGACGTCGTCGGTGTCGTCTTAGTCGTTGTCGGCGGCGTCGTCATCGTCGTTGTCGCTGTCGTCGTCGGCGTCGCTGTTGCTGCCAAGTGCCATGTGGTACCCACCGTCACGGTCTTAAGAGATTTTGCAAACCAAGTTGCGGTTGGGTGGGTGGGATGTTTGCGCGAGCAGTGGAGTGGACAGCTTCAAGGCGGTCAAAGTGATAACACACTACACATTGTCCTACCTTAAATTGGAAATAAACTCTACCCCCCGGGTCATCGGCCCCCTTGTTTCCTATTGTTATTTGCGCACGATTCTGCCCCATCGTCCATCTTAAATGTGAACCCGTACCATCCCAGCCCAAAACGTATCGCCCCCCCCCGCCATGCTCTGCAGGGGATACTATGCACGCGCAGTCGTTTATCACAAATCATAAGGTTACCAGAACCCCTTGCAACAAGTTGGGCGAAATTCGCACGGGCGCGTCGCCGCGCGCACATGCCACAATCCTTCAGCAACTGCCGGTTTCGTAGAGTTGCCAACATCGAGTGTCCAACAAACACATCAACACACATGGTTTCGCAACGCGGGGTTCCCAAACAGGTTGCGCGCGCGCCTTCGCGAACGCTTAAGGCATCCATCGGTTGATCAACATGTTCTGGAAAAAAGGCTACCAAACGGGCTTCGCGCGCGCATGTCGAAATCGTTCGAAGGCGTGCTGGGGTGGCACGCGTCGGCCGCGCGCGCATGTCGAATTCTCCCCAAAACTCCCATCACCGACGCGAGGGCGCCGTCATCGTCGTCGGCGCGATCAGCATCGGCGCCCGCACTGGCCGTGGCCGTCGATGTCAGCATGTCCATCAGCATCGTTACTATCATCACCGTGTCTACCGTTGTCGACGTTGTCATGATACCGCGCCCGCCCAAGTCGCCGACTCACACTGCAGAGCCCGTTGGGATGTGCCCAGCGGTCAGCGCCACCGCGGCTACGTCGGTCGCGCCACAGTGCATGCGCGCGCGTGCATGCGGGCTGTCGCGACCGCAGAGATTCACCAGCCAGCGCCAAGCACTGATCACAATCGCCGCCGCATGGGGTTTGCAACCAAGTTGCGGGTGTGTGGGTGGGGTGTAAGCGCGAGCAATGGAGTGGTCATTTTCACGTTGAGCGTTGATTAGTTGCCCTGCATATATTGCACCACGTCTGTTGCCCATCATATTCAGCACCCCGTAGATGAGACACCATCTATTTTCCTTTCTGACCCCCCCCCCGGATTATCGGCCCCTTTTTTTCTTATGGTTCTTTGCACAGGATTTTGCCACATTGTCCATCTTAAAGTTTAACTCGTACCATTCCAGCCCACCCCGTATCGGCCCCCCCCCAACCATGTCATGACATTGGGAAACGGGCCTCTGGCGCCGCATGCCGACATCATTCGCACGCCTTTTGTGCGCGTGTTCGGGGGGGCACGGTCCGCGTCAATAACAGACATGCGGGCCACACTCGCGCGTCTGCCGCCCTTGCATGTCGAACTCCTTCCAAAATTCCCATCACCGACGCGATGAGGCTGTCATCGTCGTCGGCGTGATCAGCATCGGCGCCGTCACTGGCTGCCCTGTCGTCGCTGTCAGCATCGTTGCCAGCATCGCTACTATCATCATCGTGTCTATCGTCGTGGACGTTGCCATGATACCGCGCCCGCCCAACTCGCCGACCCGCACTGGAGTGCCTGCTCGGATGTGCCGAGCGGTCAACGCCACCGCGTTCGCGTCGGTCGCGCCAAACTAGCTGGCCGCTGCGCGCGCGAGCATGCGTGGGCTAGCGCGGCCGCAAGAATACACCAGCCATTGCCAAACCCTCATCGCAATCGCTTCCGCATGGGTTTTGCAAACCAACTTGCGGTTGGGTGGGATGATTGCGCGAGCAGTGGAGTTGACAGCTTCAAGGTTGGCAAGTGTATGGCACCATCTAGATTGCATTACGTCGATTGCGCCGCAAACATGGCGCACCGAATAGATTGCACCAATTAGATTGCCCCACGCAGATTGAACACCATGCTTTTTTTGAAACGTAGTGTTTGGGGCCCACGTTGGCTAACACACGCACAGATGAATAAAGACATATTCAGCCACCACTTCGGCTTCCAACTGGACGACCACTGGGGCACTCTTGACGGGGCCTGGAGTGGCCGGGGAAAAGGAGTCCTGCGGGACCCTCCTCCTCGAGGAGACGGTGGCCCCGCCTCCCACCGCTGCGACCACTGGCGAATAGTGCCGTACGGTATCGGACACCCCCGCTGGGATCCACCTGGCTGCAGGAATTCTCAAATTCTGAGCCCCGGCCAACTCTTCAGAAATCTGACCGCCCTGGGCGTTGCCTGGGGCTCCCCGCGGCCCCCGTGGTTTTCGTCGTCGTCTTCGTCGTCGTCGTCGTCGTCGTCGTCGTTTTCCTCGTCGTCACCGTCGTCGTCGTCGTCGTCGTCATCGTCGTTTTCGTCGCCACCGCAGCCCCACCAGCCGCGACGGCGATGCCGTTGCCGACCGCCCGCGCTCGCGTGGGCGCCCGGGCCTCCGTGCGATGCCGGCCCGGGGGAAGAGGCGAGGCGACGCAGCCGCGCCGCAGCCGCACGCCAAGCGGCGAGGTGGCCTCGCTGGCCAAGCGCTCCCTCCGTCCCCTTCGATGCGGTCGGGCGGGCTCGTGGCTCCCAGGAGCAGGAGGAGGGTTCCCATGTCTCGTCTCCCTCCCCTGCCCCTCCCATTCCGGGGCCTTCCTTTCTGGCCGCTCGCCAAGCAATGTTTTTTTTGCGCCGTCTTTATTGATTGTGGTCTGGCTAGTGCGCGCTTCCAGGTACCCTTGGCATTCATCTTCACGGAGCTTCTCTGAGGTCGTTGTTCATGGATGTTGCCGGGAGAATGATATGTGTCGCCATCTGTGCCTGCGTGGTTCTCCTTTGGCGGGCGATGCTGTCTTAGGGGAGCGCCCCATCGATGCCGCTTCACCTGGCCTGTGCGTCGGCCGTGCTGGTCTTCCGACTTCGCCCCGATGCTGCGCAATCGGTTGCCTCGCAAATTGGAAGAGGAGCCGGAGGAACATGTTATTCTTTTGGGGGGCTTGCTTGAGGGTTCTCAAATGGCACAGGGGAGACGCAAAGTACCTGCGCAAGGATGACCCGCGCAGTTCAAAGCATGTATGCATTCTTGGTGACGCTGCGCACGGGGAGGAAAAGGCCCCCCTCCCTCCGACCCTCCTGCTTGGGCAAAATCCGGACGACATCGCAATCTGTTACTTCGGTCTGGTTGTGTGCTTGTGTCTAGTTTGTCTGGCCACCGCGTTCACCTACACAAGACGCTGCGCGCGTGTTCGGCGCGGGTTTGCCGCACAATGTCGAAGTCGAAAGACGTGCTGTGCACGTCACTGCCGCTCTTCGTAAAGTTGGGGTTAGCGCCTGTGGACATGGAGTGGTGTGTGTGCGCGTGTGTTCGGCCGCTGCATGCTTCTCTGCTTTGTCGCTCGCCGTCGGGCCCAGGAGACCGAAAGCGAGAAACAACGCCCGCAGTGACAACACCACATCGTCAGAGATCTGGTCCTGGCCTAAACCGTCGACGTTGTTTTCACACCCTCGGCCCTCCGAGGTCCGGACCCCTATCCCGGGGACCTGCTTGTTCTCCCGAGCCGTTTTTCCACATCCCCGAAGCCCGGTGAGTGCCCCTGCAGGCTGAAGGTAGCGCGCGATCGCCCGCCGTTTTTTGTACATGACGCGAGGGGGTTAGGGTAAGACCAATTTCACCCAAACATGCGTAGACTGTGTGTGTCGCCACCAAATGGGCGACGTGCGCGCTCAGAAGCCGTAGAGTGTATGTTCGGTGGCGGGCGTTTTCTAGCCATACTGCTTCCGCAACGATATATGATAACATGCGGGTGCTCTGTGATCTTGTCGGACGCGTGCCTTCAAGAGGAGGACGCGTCGTAACAGGATGTGTTTCTGCGTCCCACAAAAAAGCTCTGGGAGGCCGCTCCTTCCGGCAGCGCCCCGGCAGCCGTCCGAGGCGGATGCGGCGACGGCACGGACGGAGACGCGGCCGAGGCCCTGGGCGGTGGGCGATCGCTGGCGCTGGAGTTCCGCACCCCTCGGGAGGCGGGCGGGGTGGCCCGCCGCTCCAGAAGTGAGAGGAGGAAGAGGAGGAGGAAGAGGAGGAGGGAGGAAGAGGAGGAGGAGGATGAGGGAGGAAGAGGAGGAGGAGAGAGAGGAGGTGGAGGAGGAGGTCGAGGTGGACGAGGTGAAATGGAAAGCTGATGGCGATGAGGATGATGATGATGATGATGATGATGATGATGATGGTGATGGTGATGGTGATGGTGATGGTGATGGTGATGGTGATGGTGATGGTGATGGTGCTGATGGTCAGTATGATGAGGATGATGATGATGATGACGATGATGATGGTGCTGATAATGACGAGGATGATGATGATGGTAATGATGATGCTGATGGTGATGAGGATGGTAAGGACGATGATGACGATGATGACGAGAATGTCGATGATGACGATGATGACGATAATGTCGATGATGCTGCTGATGATGATGGTGATGTTGATGATGACGATGATGCCGATGAGGATGATGATGTTGATGATGAGGATGAGGATGAGGATGAGGATGGGATGAGGATGAGGATGAGGATGAGGATGATGATGATGATGATGATGATGACGACGACGACGATGATGATGATGATGATGGTGGTGGTGGTGGTGGTGATTATGATGACGATGCTGATGGTCTTGGTGGTGATGATGCTGCCGACGATGATGATGATGCTGATGCTGCTGATGATGATGCTGAACATTCTGATGATGATGCTGTTGCTGATGATGATGCTGATCATGATGATGATGAGTATGTTCATGATGGTGATGATGATGGTGCTGAGGATGCTGATGATGACGATGATGATGATCATGATGCTGATGATGAGTACGAGGATGATGCTGATGATCATGATGCTGATGCTGATGATGCTGATGGTGCTGATGATGCTGATGATGGTGATGCTGGTGATGATGATGATGATGATGATGATGGTGATGCTGCTGATGATGATGATGATGATGATGCTGTTGATGCTGATTCTGATGCTGATGCTGATGCTGATGCTGATGCTGATGCTGATGCTGATGCTGATGCTGATGCTGCTGATGATGATAATGGTGATGATGATGATGAGGAGGAGGAGGAGGGGGAGGGTGGGAGGAGGAGCTGATGATGATGACGATGAGGAGGAGGAGGAGGAAGAGGAGGAGGAGGGGGAGGAGGAGGAGGAAGATGAGGAGGAGGTAGTGGTGGTGGAGGACGAGGGTGGACGAGGTGAAATGGAAAGCTGATGGCGATGATGATGATGATGATGATGATGATGATGATGATGATGATGATGATGATGATGGTGATGGTGATGGTGATGGTGATGATGCTGATGGTCAGTATGATGATGATGACGATGATCACGATGCTGATGGTGCTGATGATGACGAGGATGATGATGATGGTAATGATGATGCTGATGGTGAGGAGGATGGTAATGACGATGATGACGATGATGACGAGAATGTCGATGATGACGATGATGACGATAATGCCGATGATGCTGCTGATGATGATGGTGATGTTGATGATGATGATGATGCTGATGATGATGATGATGGTGGTGGTGGTGATTATGATGACGACGCTGATGGTCTTGGTGGTGATGATGCTGCCGACGATGATGATGATGATGATGATGCTGATGCTGCTGATGATGATGCTGAACATGATGATGATGCTGTTGCTGATGATGATGCTGATGATGCTGATCATGATGATGATGATGATGAGTATGTTCATGATGGTGATGAGGATGAGGATGAGGATGCTGATGATGGCGATGATGATGATCATGATGCTGATGATGAGTACGAGGCTGATGCTGATGATAATGATGCTGATGCTGATGATGCTGATGGTGCTGATGATGCTGATGATGGTGATGCTGGTGATGATGATGATGATGATGATGATGATGATGGTGATGGTGATGCTGCTGATGCTGCTGCTGATGATGATGATGATGCTGTTGATGCTGATGCTGATGCTGATGCTGATGCTGATGCTGATGCTGATGCTGCTGATGATGATGATGATGATGATAGTGGTGATGATGATGAGGAGGAGGAGGAGGCGGAGGAGGAGGAGGAGGAGGGGGAGGGTGGGAGGAGGAGCTGATGATGATGACGATGAGGAGGAGGAGGAAGAGGAGGAGGAGGGGGAGGAGGAGGAGGAAGATGAGGAGGAGGTAGTGGTGGTGGAGGACGAGGGGGAGGCGAAGTCGCAGGAGGGAGAAGAGGGGGGTAGACGAAAAGGGGGAGAGTGGGTAAGGGGGGAGGGATGCGACACCTCCTGCGTGCATCTGGTTTCGTTCCCGTCGCCTGGCGGCGATTTCCTCCATGCATTGGCGCCTTTGACGCCAGGAGGCGCTGGAGAATCCAGCTACGCGAGCTGACTCTCCCCCCCCTGTGCTATCCCTCCTTCCGTCTGCCCAGGGAGGGGCAGGGAGGGGGAGGAGGAGGAGGAGAAGGAGCGGCAGGGGGGTTCACGAGAGAATTCGCGCACGCATCCCATCCCCTCGTCAGGATTGTCAGGGGCGGGATGCTCCAGTGCGCGCTCGCGCCGCCCGGGAACACCTGCCCCGTCTGTGCCAGAGGGGGAACTTCCATTGTGCGCCGTGCCCAATCTGACGACCGACAGGCCAGGGGCTGGGCGAAGCAGCGGGCGCGCTTCCTCAACGGCAAGATGGCCGAGTACGCCGCCCGCAAGCAGGAGGGCAAGGCGCCTCTGGGCGCTGCTCTCCCCTTCCTCTCACGCGGCACTCGTGTCTCCCGACTGTGAGTGTGGCACGCATTGCGAGCATTCGCCATCATCCGCCTCCGCCGCCTCCTCTTCCTTTTTCTCCCTTCTCATCTCCCATGGTCGGGGGACCAGGTGATGCAGTTCCTGGACTGCTTCTTGAAGGGCGAGAGCGAGCAGAAGTTTGGGTGCCGGCCGACTGTGCACACCTGGACCACGCTGATCAACATGTACGTGAAGCTGGGAAAGGTGCAGGAGGCCGAGGAGGCCCGCACGTTCTGCCTCTTGTGGGTTGGACCGTTTTTGGGGGGAGGGGGCCTCAGCCTGGCGTTACATCGACATGGACGGGGGGCAGGAGGGGGTGGAAGAGGACAAGGAGAAGAAGGATTGTGATGAAGACGGTGTGGTGATGAAGGTGTGCTGATTATGATTGCGATGGTGATGGTGGTAAGTGGGATGGTGATGATGATGAGTGTCATGAAATTTATCGTTGTGTTGATCACCATCGTGACAATGTGGTGGTGACGGCGACGATGGTTGTGATGATGTCGATGGCGGTGGTGTTGGCGATGACGACGACGACGATGCTGCTGATGATGTTGATTATGATGAGGATGACGATAATCATGATGCTGCTGCTGAGGATGATGATGCTGATGCTGATGCTGATGCCAATTATGCTGCCGGTGCTGATGATTATGATGGTGGTGATCATGAATACGAGGATAAGCATGATGATGATGATGGCGGTGGTGGCGATGACGATGATGATGGTGATATGATGATGATGGTGACGATGATAATGATGGTGATGGTGGTGATGATGATGATAGTGATGTCGATGATGTTGGTGACGATGATGTTGATGCTGATGGTGGTGGAGAGGGTGATGGTGCTGATGATGATGAGGAGGAGGATGAGGATGACGATGATCATGATTATGGTGATGATGGTGATGCTGATTATGATGATGAATATGATGATGATGCTGATGATGATGATGATGCTGCTGATGATGATGGTGGTGGTGATGATGATTATTGACCATGATGATTATGATGCTGCAGCTGGTGATGACGATGGTGATGATGATGCTGCTGCTGCTGATAATGATGATGATGATGATGATGATGATGATGATGATGATGATGATGATGATGATGATGAATCGGACCGAGCTCGGATTGAGCGCCACGTGCGTCGAAGGAGTGAAACGAGCGAGGAGGCAGCCCAACGCCCCAGACGAACATCGCGGCCAGGGAGTCCTCTCCGCGCCTCAGTGGCGGCGGCGTCACGCGTTACGCGCGAGCGCAGACTGATCACGCCAGCACTGGCCGTGCCAGAGCCTCATCGAGAAATACGAGGGCACGATGGGCAGGAACCGCAACTTCAGGGCCAGCCGGATGACGGCCCCGCAAGGACCAGTCCAGATGCTGACGCTCGTTCGGCTGGCGACGGAGGCTATTCGGGACCAGAGCCTAGATCCCCAACACTGTTCTTCTATATCGGTATTACTACCGATATCATCATTACCCTTGTTAGCATTCTCACCTTTAATATTATGAGTTATCCACATCATCACACTCATTGACAGTTTTCTGTAGTTACCATCATTATGATGTGTTTTTTTGTCTCGATTGCTGACAACGTTGACCCCAGAGGTCTCGACACATTCCCCGGGACGGGTTCTTATCCTGACGTTGTGATTGTTCCGAGGCTTGGTAAGCCCCCCCCCCCCCAGAGGCCGAAAATCGCGAAAACCTCCCGTCGTGGTTTTGTTCACGACTCGAGGGGGTCTGGGGAGCGAGGTCTGCCCGCCGCCCGCCCCGCCTGCGGCCACGACGGCCGTC